AGAGAGAGAGAGAGAGAGAGAGAGAGAGAGAGAGAGAGAGAGAGAGAGAGAGAGAGAGAGAGAGAGAATATTTAAAGGAAGGCTAATGGAGGGAGGTGGTTCAGGGCATGACGGTATAGACACAGCCACAGATTAACTGCTAAACCCCACAAAATCACCTAGCCTGAAGTTCAGAAGTCCTGCAACCACTGGCCAGGCTCAACATCCAGCACGGCCCGTCAATTCCCTTACCCCACTCCGGCAAGGCGTACTGCAGCAGAGCCACCATCTCTGGTGCTCATATACCCTATTCCCATCCTACCAGCTATAGCTTCCTTAGGCTCAGACATGACAGTATCCACACAGCCTCAAATAAACTGCTAAACCCCACAAGATCACCCAGCCTCAATTTTAGAACACTTGCAACCACTGGTCAGGCTCAACATCCAGAACCACTTCTTGGCCGGCCTGCCTCGGTCAGATCAGAACTGCGGGGATTCTTGTGAGGGACGCCGGGAGCACTTCCGGCTTTGTTGTCAATAAATATAGATCTTTAAAAAAGGGTTAATTTCAAAAATATTGATGTTTCGAAGTTTGGCGGCAAAAATGTCGTCCTTTCGAAGTTTCCTTTGCAGAAATAGAGGTTTCGTTGCAGCTTTATTGGGTTCCCCTAGTTTGCCAGCAAAAATACCGCGTTTTGCCAAGTTTCACAGCAAAGGACCCCTAGGCCCCTGGCCTCAGGGACTCAGCGTCTTTTATTTTATTTATTTTTTTCTGCAGGTGTGGCCAAGGCATCTCGGCCGTGGCCACGCCGAGATGCCTCGGCCACGTTTCTTGTCTTTTTTTTTTTTTTTTTTTTTCCATGGCCGTGGCCGAGGCATCTCGGCCGTGGGCTCGCCCAGATGCCCCGGCCATGCCCAAAAAATAATAATAATAAAAAAAAAAAAAAAACGCTGAGTGTCTCAGGCCAGAACGCTGAGTCCCTGAGTCCCTGAGGCCAGAGGCCTAGGGGTCCTTTTCTGTGAAACTGGGCAAAACGCCGTATTTTTGCTGGCAAACTATGGGAACGCGATAAAGCTGCAACGAAACCTCTATTTTTGCAAAGGAAACTTGGAACGGACGACATTTTTGCTGCCAAACTTCGAAACAGCAATATTTTTGCTATTAGCCCAAAATAATAATAATAAAAAAATGGAACCATACAGAGAAAGGAGATTAACATGCCCACTGTGCAAGGATGACATGAATAAATCGAGAAATGGTTCAGGAAAAAAAAAAAAAAAAAAAAAAGTAGGGAAACGAAACCAGAAAAAAAAAAAAAAAAAAAAAAAAAAACCAGAAAGAAAAACCCGTATAGATAACAACGAGCAGAGGTTGAATCTAACAGCAGTGCAAGGTTGCGCGCACGGCGAACTACCCGTCTTCGCCCGAATGCGATATAACGTGTGTGGGTGTGTTTTTTTTTGGTTTTTTTCTTCCCCTTTTTTTTGGGGGGGGGGAAGGGGGAGAATGCACAGGTTATTGTGGCTATGTCCCCCCTCTCCAAGAAAGGATACGATAGCATTTTGTAACCGGACGCCGGGCCCGTTTGACGGGTTGAATACTAAAGAGACCTTGTTATTTTTAATTTATATATATATTTGACTATATATATATAGCGGTAACTTCAGCGCAGTCACGAAAATAGTTTGTAATTGCACTTCTGGCAATCCCGCGAATACAACACACCCCCACGCGACCCCACCGGACCCGAAAAGTAGGTCATATACATTCAGCATTACCCGCCCTTTTGCCTCAAGTGGAATTACAAACTCAATCCCTGACTGCGCCGTAGTTTTCTCATATATATATTTGTGAGGATATATGCTACGAAATGCTACGACTTCGCTAGCTCCTGCTACGGTTTTTTCTACGTTTTTTTCCGGTCAGGTCGAGCGGCAGTGGTTGGGGCCTTTACTAGGCGGCCATGCTGTGCCTCTAGTGCCAGCGGCGTGTCTGGAGTGTATTTTTTGGCTGTGACAGACCTTTCTTTGTTTCGTGGATGTTTTGCTGGCTTGTGATGGGGTGTGAAC